TAAATTTAATTAATAATGACTTAATTATTAAAAAATATATATATATATGTATATTTGCGGATGAATTGTATTATTATTATTATTATTATTATTGTTAATAATTACAATTTGCTTTTTATTGTGGTTAATAACCGTTAATAATTTTTTATTACTATTTTAATAATATATATAAATATATATTTAAAACTTATTTTTTTTGCTTTTCTCGATGTAATAATGTAATATAATGACGATGATGATGATGATGATGGTTGTAGTGGTGGTGGTGCTGATGATGATGACAACGATGGTAATGACAGTGATGATGTTGATGTTGATGATGCTGATGATGGTTGTGGTTGCGGTAGTGGTGAAGATGCTGATGATGATGATAATGTTGTTGTTGATGGTGATGCTGATTTTAATAGATGATGATGATGATGATGGTGATGATGATAGTGGTAGTGGAGTGGATGGCAGTCGTGCTAATGATGATGATAACGATATTTTCGCGTCAAAAAATTTTCCGGCGTTTCTTTTTTTTTTTCTTGTTATTGTTTTACCCTCGTCGACCTCACGTTGACCTTTTTCAATACCCAAGCACATATATCATAACTTAAATATAAGTACGCCATTTTGATTTTTCCTTTGATTAATCCGCGCCGAAGAATACAAAAAAAAAAAATTAATAATGATATCCGTGCGATTTGAATGATTCCATAATTGATTCTCGAAAACATCAAAAACAAACAAACAAACAAATTTGATTTAATTAAAAGATTTTTATTTTTTTTTTTTGGGATCGAACGAAAACTATGACGTTTGTGTCGGGTGCATGCATGCGTGTATTTAGTATTATTAATAATAATAATAAGAATAATGATGATGATGATGATGATGATGATGACGGTAAAATTTAAACGCTTAGAAAAAATTCTTTGTTGGAAAAATAAATTTAACATTAAAGGAAAAGGTAAAGGATGAATTTCCGGTGGAAAATCTCTTAAATAAAAAGAATCGAAATTAACGTTAATAATAATAATGATGATGGTAATAATAATAATAATAATAATAATGATGATGGTAATAATAATAATAATAATAATAATAATAATAATAATAATCGATATTCAAGGTTTGATAATTATCGTTACCGGTACATTTCCTTATCGAAATGATGAAAATAATTTTTCTTTTTTTTTTTTTTTGTGTGTCGAGGCTGTTGTCAAAAAAAAAATAATATCACATGTTTAAACCCTGTTTGTTTCTTATTAATTGTCAACAAACAAACAGACAAACAAACAAACAAACTTTCGATCGCGCCGTTTTAAACACAAAAAAATTAAATGTCAGTAAAAAAAAAAATAAAGGAAAACCTTGAATTAAATCAAATTTTATTATTTATTAATACATAAATCGCAAAAAAAATTCTTCCCTCCTCTCCCTACCTCTACCCCTCTCCCTCATTTTCGGGGCGTCCTGTAGTTTTTTGTACGGTACAAACAAACAAACAAACAATCAACACAAAAAGACTTTTACCTTATAAAAAAAAAAAAAATTGACGATAAATTTAATTGTCATTTTTTATAATTTAAATTATTAATTAATATTATCCAATACAATTTATCAAGTTAATAAATTATTTTTATGCAATTTATTTATTAATAATAATAATAATAATAATAATAATGATAATATCGACCGCGTTAATAAATCTATTTAATTAACAACAACGTTAACAACTACGGAAAAAAGAAAACAAACGCGGACAACGACAAAATTAATTAAAAAAAAAAATTAACGCACTCACTCACGCACTCACGCAATTCATTATTGATTATTTTCATTATTATTATTATTATTACTAAAAATTTATTTATAGGAATTTATTATAATCTTGTATTTGGAAACAAAAAAAAAAAAAAAACAAAAAAAAAGGAAAAAAAAAATTTTTTTTTTTTATATTTATCAATATTCTAAAAAAATTGTACAACAACCACAACAACAACAACAACAAACGTTAGAGTTTATTGACTTGATGAGAAAATTAATTACTTTTAAAGGTAAGGTAAGAAAGAAAAAAAAAAACTCGTTTTTAAGTAATTACGAGTAAGTTTTTTTTTTTTTTTGTGGAATTACGCGCATTTAAATAAATTACTCGAAAAAAAACCTTCGCCGCCGCTTTTACGATTTAAAAACAAAGAATAAAAATAAATAAATAAATAAATAAATGAAAACCAAAAAAATATTTTTTTTAAAATTCTTTTTCTTCATCTGCACCATCTATTACTCCTTCCCCTTCCCTCCCCCCTCCCCCTCTCTCTCTTTATCGCTCTCTCACGCTCTCTCGCTCTCAACTCTATTTTCATCTCATTTTACACAATTAAACCGTTATTAATTACGATAACGAACCGACGTTTCCTCCCCTCCGCTTTCTCCTTCTTCCCCCTCTTCTTCCTTCTCTTTTCCCTCTTCTCCCCTTTTTCGATTATTAAGAAAATTACCAAAGTTAATAATAATTTTTCCACAATTTTTTCTCCCATAAAAATTACCGTAATAAAAAAAAAATTTTCTTTGTAATTTTTCCTTTGTCGTTTATTTATTT